CGCGGGGGAGGCCGCGGCGCGAACATGGCGGCCGAGATCCACTCCAGGCCGCAGAGCAGCCGCCCGGTGCTGCTGAGCAAGATCGAGGGCCACCAGGACGCCGTCACGGCCGCGCTGCTCATCCCCAAGGAGGATGGCGTGATCACCGCTAGCGAGGACAGGTAGGGTCTGGGAGCGCGCGGGGGCCAGGGCGCGAGGTGGGGGCGGCCACGAGGCGTTGGGACCGTGGGGTCGGCGGCTCTGCCTCCCCTCCTGTGGTCACCCCGGGCCGAGCGGCCACCCTGTCTCTCCCGCGTCTCTGCAGTCCGTGGAGATCCCGGTGCCGCCAGGCGGTTCTGTCTTACTCTCCAGTCCGGGACCGCTCCCCCGCCGCGCGCCTTAAGTCCTGGGAACCCCAAACATGCTCCTTTAGCCCTGACCTGCCCCTAGCGCTCTTTCAGTCTAGGACCTGGTTCCACAGCGGCCCCCTCTATCACGGGACCCCGACCCACAGAACCTTTCCATCCCGGGACCCCGTCCTACAGCACCCCCTACGGCCACTGTCCACCCCCACAGCTCTTCTCTAGTCGGACCTGTCTCTCCTCCAGCCCGGGACCCTGAGCCCCAGGGCCCCTCCATCCTGGGACCCCGCCTCCCAGGGCCTCTCCAGCCCAAGAGTTCAGGACCCCTCCAGATTGCTCCCCCTTGCTTCCCCTACCAGGCCTCCGGTCCTGGGTTCCCAGTGCGCCCCTGCAACTCTGGGACGCCAGGGGTCCTGGTCTTCTAGCCCAGCCTTTGCTCCATTTTCCACTCCCCTGCCGCCCGAACCCTGTCCCTTGGTGCTGCTCCGACCTCAGACCTTTGCCTCCTGTGTCTTCCTCATGGGAGGTTCACCTGGTGCTCCAGAGTTTCTGGGTTCTCCTGGGCCCGGTCCAAGTCCCAGAGCTCTAGTGGCTGATTACATTGGAACCTGGTGCGGGTGTTTATTCCTTAAAGGAACTCCCGGGACCAGCTTCAAGTTTGTTTGAAGTTGAGGTGGGCGGGGGGGGGGGGGGGGGGGGGGGGCGTACCATTTAATGTTCCACCTGGCTTCAGGATCGGTTTTTTCTTTTCTTTTTACCCTCAGCTGCTAGAACTATCTGAACTCACAACTGACCAAATAGTTTTCAGTTTTTAAATAAAAACTATTCATTCTTAAGAAAAAAAGACACACTTATTTTAAAAGGAAAGTTTATTTACAAGTAATATTGTTGACCAGTGATTTATCTCCAAAAGTAAGAAATAATATTGTTTATCATAGGACTAAAACAAGCCGTGTTACCAGCGTTCCTGCATTTTGCCGGTCACCCTACTTTGGAAAAGATTGATTTGCTCTAGTGATTTCATTTTATCCAAGAGGGAACTGAAGCCCCAGAGGTGTAACTAGTTTCTCTGAGTCAAAGAGAAGCAGAGGAAGCCAGGAATGGAACCTAGGACTTGTCTTCTGGCCTACAGTGTTCAGGGCACTGTAAAGTGCCTGGAGAAATCGCCCTTGCTTTACAACTGTAGCAAGTTTGGAACCTGAAAGATTTAAAACACAGTTGAGGGAAACGGTGTCCGTAGTCTTAAGCAGAGATGGGCCCCAAACTGGAAAGGCTTTGGTGAGAATAGTCTCCTGTTCTCTGAAAGCTGGAGGCAGGGGCCAGCCGTTTGTCCTCACACCTTTAGAAGTGAGTGAAATTGTGGGCCTGCTCTGAACGGGGAAAAGGAAACTTGATACCCTAGCTCCTACTGGACCTTTCTGTTTGGCTTTTGAATGAATTTAGTTAGGGCTTTCCTGCAGGCAGTGAGCGTATTTTCCTTCCAGTTTTCTTGCAGCTGACCTTAAGCAAGGTTGTGCCCACTGGACTGGTAGGGTCCCGTGAAACAGAAATGGTGTCTGGAGTGTGGGAACATGGGATGAGAGAGAAGAGGATGTACAAGGCAAAAGGCAGAATATGGTATTTACATGATACGAACAGGAATGCAAACAACAGTTTATTAAAGTCAGCAGGCTTTATTCAGTGAAATATCTTATTTGTGACTCATGCATGTTGGGTAAATTGCCAAATATCTGAGATTACTTGGGAAGAAACAGTGTTAATAAAGATTTTATGGAAAGTGATTACTAAGCTCCTCTGGGACTCAGATGTTCAGAGAAGTCTTGGATCAGTTTATTTTTTTACCTCCTGCTCAACTGCCCGGCAGGATTCAGGCAAATGGCTAGACCACCAAGGAGCTGGCTTGCTACTGAAGGTTTCTGATGTGTGTGTTAAGCCTTTTTGTAGGTACCACAATTCATTCATTCCATTCAGGAATACTGTATCTAAGTCCTGGGGATAAGCGAAGGATCGAAAGCCACAGTGCCTATACTCATAAAACTTATGATTTATTGCTTTTTATGGCCCTTGACTCACAGAAGTCCTGTATACGTATGTCTAAGGACTTTGAATCTTGGCTTCCCGTATTCAGCCAAAAATACGTCAGACATGCCTGTTCATTCGTCTCTACAGTAACTGTAAAGTCAGCTGACATTGAAATAACTCTTTCCAAGTGCTGAGTGGCTTACTGAGGACGTGGCCCTTCGTCCTCTGCTCCCCAGATGCTGGAGACATAGAAGGGAGAAACTTGGCCTGGGTTCAAGAACCATCTTTAGGAGAGGCCCTCATGGGTGAAGGAGTGGTTTGTAGAAGGGAGGATGCATATCCTGGTTCCAGGCAGAGCGAAAGGACAGAAGGGAGTGTGAAGTGGTAGCGAGATATTTTCACGTGACCAGAGCAGAAGGTGTATGGGAGGCCATGGCAGGAAAGGGCTGAGGCCTGGAAGAGCAGTGGCCTGTTTTGGAAAAGAATTGTGGTGTGACTCTTAGGACCTGGATTTTATTTGGCATGCAGAGACAAAGTCTAAAGTAGAGTTCAAAACAAGCAAATTGAGATTTTCGTTTAGAAGTGGCAATAGTTAAGCTTTAGAAAGTTCCTTCTATACAATGCAAAATTGGGATATCTCTCTCTCTCTCTCTCTCTCTCTCTCTCTCTCTCTCTCTCTGTGTGTGTGTGTGTGTGTATCATCAACCCAAGCTTATATTCCTCATGAGAACAGTGCAGTCCATCTCTCTGATCAGCAGTTCCAAAACTCAATACACTCTCAAAGTCAGAAGTGCCTGTGTATGGAAGTTTTCTCAAAGCTCATTTGCTTGCCGTCTTTATTTATCCCATGCAGTGTGAATATTTATCTGTTGTACTGCTTAAGCAGCAGAGGTAAGGATGCTTTGTCAGGTCCTGCCAAGAGTATTCTGGAACATAAGGTAATAGAACATACCATATTCTGATGGCCATTTGACAGGCAGGTCAGAACACCGAGACACCAGCCACGCTTAAGTAATCACCAAGACCGCAAAGCTCCTAAGTGGTAGGGCTGAGACCCGAATCCAGTTCTGCCCCTTCCAGCCCAAGTTCTTCCTGTAATCCACCTCTGTGCGTTAAAAGAAACTGAGTCCAGGCTGTATCAGTTAGCGATGTACTATACCAGCAGCAAATGCAAAAGGACAGCATCCACCTTGTTCAGTGAGCCTTCCTTTTTACTAATTTTCAGGATTTAAAAAAAAAAGGCTTGCACCTTTTTAGCACAGCTTTGCAACTTGTCCTTTAATGCTCACAAAGTAACATTGTGTGTACCTTTGTGTGGTATCTGTTAGTGTGTAAATACTGTGTGCATAAGCGTGGATGAATGCATGTCACCATGTGCCTGTGGCTGAGCTTTCTCAGCAACCAGTTTTTACTCTGGAGTTCCTGTAACCTAGGCTGGCCTTGAGTATACTGTGCAGCTCAGCGTGGTCTTGAACTCCTAATTCTCCTGCCTCCACCCCTAATTGCTAGGGCTATGGTCATGTATTTTTTTATTTTTGAGACAGGGTCTCACTGCGTAGCTCAGGCTGGCCCAGAACAGCCCCACAGAATACAGGGATTGTCGGTGTGTACTGCCACAAATCTGCTTAGGAAAGTAACTTTGAATATTTATAACAGGATCCAGCTGAAGTTAATTTCTTACATAAAAGCCACAGAGAATGAGGATGTCCTGAGAGGAAAAGCTAAAGAATCCAGGGTCTTCCTAAAGTCAGGGCCCGCTTTTCCAAAGTCTGTGCCAGCAGCTCCACCATCAGCGCTGGCCCCCCAGGGTACACTGGAAACTGTCTGTATTCACTTTGGGTTGCAGGGCAAAAGATACTTTGGTATATGGGGCTGTGCCAGGCCCACAACTCAGCATCCTTCAATGCCAGGGTGACTGCTCAGCATCCTGTGGTACATAAGAGCCCAGTCACGAGTCTTTCTGCTCTTTAGAGTGGCTCTCAAACTTGAGTGTTTATTGGAATCACTTGGAGCCCTTGTGCAGCAGTGACTCCTGGGCCTCACCCATGGAGATTCTGATTAGGAAGTTGAACTGGTGGGTGTGGAGGCCTGAGAGCTAGCCTTCTGGCAAAACTCTGAGGGATGCTGCTAATCCAAGGACCACACTCAAAGCTCTCGTGCTGTACAAGAAACGGGGGTTGTGCATCAGTCATCAGAGAAGAATGCACTTTACACCTCCCCTTCAAAAATTATTTTTAAATTTTGTGTATATGTGGATCTGTGTGCTGGGTACAAGGTGCCCTTGGAGCTCAAAAGACGGAGTTGAAATCTATGCTGCCGGAGCTACTCTGGGAACCGAACTCTGGTCCTTGGTGTACGCTCTTGACTGCGGAGCCATTGCCCCAGTCCTGCTCCTCTTTCTCAGCAGGGAGAGTGGTTTCCCTGGAGTTATTTTACAGATACCCACATTCTAACACGTATCCTGTCACTGTGACGGAATACCTGACATAGGCACCATGAAAGAAGAAAAGATGATCCTCTGGTTTCAGGCTGTGGTCACTTCGCCTTGTTGCCTTGGGACCTTTGGTAGGACAGTGCGTTGTCGCAGGGAGAACACGGCAGAGGAAACTGCAAACTCCATTGCAGACAGGAAGCTAAAACAGAGGAAGGGCTAGGTTCCTATGCTCTTGAAGGGTACACCTTCACGTTCAGTTACTTCCTCCTCCCACATCCTAAGACTTCCCCAGCCTCTAATAACATCCCTGGTTGGGGACTAAGCCTTTTAGCACATTACCTGTGGGGACGTTTAAGATATTGAA